TTATTATGATGAACTAAAAATTATGAAAAAAAATCATTTAAACTTTAGAGAATGTTAATCATAACACATTTTTCAACATACATGAGATGGAAAACATGAAATCACTTAAAATCAAAACTCCTGCATGCATAAACCTAAATGAGCAACAAAATATTATAAAACAAAAGCATTAAGCATAGAGGTTACCCATTCATTTTCAAGTGTGGCTAAAGCATTTGAATATCTTCATTTTCATCACTATTTCTCCCACACACCTACAAGAGACATTTAAGTGGATTTTGGTATCCAAATTGCTTTGGATCCTTGGACGTTAGTTTGAATGTCTCTTGTTCCCTTAGGAACCCATACTTGTCTAATTTTAAAACATTTTCCTTTCTTCAAAGGACAAGTATGTTCCAAATGACCATGACAATGGCAATGTGAGCATTTTGCCATTTTTAAACATAATGAGTTGCTTTTAGAAATTAATTCTTTTTCTTTTGTTAAGTTCTCAAGCTTAACTTTCAAATCAAAATTTTCTTTTTCTAAATCATTGATTTTGACTTTTGAAAGCTCTAAATCATTTTTCAAAGATTCATGTTGTTTTTCAAAATCAACATTTGCTTTAAAAACCAAATCATTTTCAACTTTAAGTTTTGAAATTAATTTCTTATATTTGGAATTTATGGTCTCAAATTCCAAATACAACTCATTATAAGAAACTTGTACATCATCAAAAGAATAAGAATCTAATTCATTTGAGTTAGAAGTTACCGTTGAATCTTCTTGGATGGCCATGAGGCATAGGTTGGCTACTTCATCTTTATTATTGTAGTCATCTTCATCGCTCCAAGCTACCACAAATGCCTTTTTCTTGCTTGATCTCTTCTTCTTTAGGAGGGGACATTCATTCTTGACATGCCCCATTATTTGACAATTAAAACATACTGGGGGGACTCTTCTTCTTGCTCGATTCATGCATCACTTCCTTAGAAGTCATGAATCTCTTGAATCATTTAAAGATCTTGGCCATCTCTTCTTCTTCATTATCGTCTTCATCCACCTCTTCATTTGAATCTTGATTGCTCTCATTGGTGGATTTGAAGGCAATGCATACCTCCTTATTCTTATTGTTTCGCTTATCTTCATCTTTTTCCTCTTATTTCACCATCAAATCATGAGTGAGAAGAGAACCAATCAGCTCATCGAGAGTGAGAGGCTTTAAATTCTTAGCCTCAATCATCGCTGTCTTCTTCGATTGCCAAGACTTTGGAGGAGAGTAGATCATCTTCCTCACAAGCTTCTCATTAGGGATTACTTCTCTAAATCCCTTGAGGCCATTAAAATCACGGAAAATCTATCCGTCATAGCTTTGATGTGTTCATCGGGTTTCATCTTTAAATTCTCATAGCTATGGTTGAGAAGATTTATGTTGGTTTCCCTCACTTCATCGGTTCCTTCATAAGTGACTTGGACCTTATCCCATACCTCCTTAGCATTGGAATAAGAGGAGACTCTTCCATATGGCCTAATGCACAAAAGAGGATACGCATAGCCTTGACATTGAGTTGGAAATTCTTCTTAACTCCATCACTCCAATCATCCATCTCACCGGGTGGAGTGCAGTACCCTTTATGATTGAGATCCAAGCTCCTAGATCATTTTCTTGAATGAAGAACATCGTCCTATTCTTCCAATAGGCATAATTTGCTCCATTGAAATATTGTGGCTTGTTGATTGGTTGAGAATCTTCAAGGTAGTAAGAGTCGGAGGTCGAATCTATCTTTTTGTCGATTGCATAGGGAATCAGTAGAGCTTCTTATAGGATCCTCTCAAGGTTGTTAAACCTTCTAATGAGTCAAGATCTAGTACCAATTTTTGGGATATTCGAAGCTCAAATTAGACAACCGAAAAATGCACAAGGGGGGGTATTGGAAAAAATTGTTTTGGGAGTAGAGAGAAATAAAAGATATACAATTTTGCACATCGATTTATTGTGGTTCGACTTCTCAACTAAGTCTACCTCCACTACTTTAGCTCATTACTAAGGATTTTCCAACAAATTCACTAATTTGTTCTTTCTTTTTCAAGGAAAAAGAGATAACCTTTACAAGACTCCCTAGATTTTCAAAGGCTCATCTAGAACCAAAACCCCTTTATAAAGAAAAGAAATGTAAAAAAAGAAATGCTCTTAAAAGATAGGGTGTTTACAAGAATTTAGCTCACAAGAACAAAATATTTACAAGAGAAATGCTCCAAACCACTCCCGACGGCTAAAAACGGTCACAAACTCATTTCAACATATAAATACAAGTTCAAGACACTTGAAGAAATCCAAAACTTGTATTTATATATTGGAATAGTTTGTGACCGTTTTTAGCCGTCGGGAGTGGTTTGGAGCCGTTGGGGATGTTTTTCTCTGCAAAACTAAAACAGCTCAGTACAGAAGATATCGTTACTCATGTAGAGATTATCGGTACTACCTTTTTTATTTTTAAATAAAACTAGCCATTACTAGTCGTTGGGTCTGACGGTATCGATACTAAGCCTATGGTATCGATACTACTATGTAAAGTAGTATCGGTACCCCTTTGGGTATCGATACCATTTTTGGATTCTGGAATTTGAGCAGTGTTGGTAGTATCAGTACTACCTTGTGAGTATCGATGCTTCCCTTACCTTTTCTATCGATACCATATGAACAATATCGATAATGTTCATGAAGTATTGATACTGTAAGAACAATATCGTTACTTCTTGTTCAAGAAAACATTTTGTGCTCAATTCCAAGTTAAATGGACTTTGAATTATTTTTGAAAATTTTAAAAACATTGAATGAATTCTATTGAAGTCCAAACACATTTTACCTTAAATTGTTATATCAAAATATAGTTCAATATATATATATATATATATATATATATTCTATTAACCAACAATCAAAATTGAAAAGTCGAATTGAATATATACATATATTACATTAAAAATATAATTAAAATCATAGAAATATTGTCAATCAATCAATTTATCGTAATTTATCTTTCAATAAATTGAAGATAAACAAAATAATAATAAATTTGAATAAATTTAAACCTTATCTCAATATATCGTATACTCAATTAATATTTCATCTTTAGAGAAAATATTCACCTTAAGTGACATCTGATGTGGTAACCAAACACTGATAATAAGAACATGCCAAGCAAAAATCTTCATTTGAGTCGATTTATTACTCACATGTTAAGTTGAATAATTATCACATGCTTATTACCAAAGTTTTACATGCGGTTATTTCAACTATTAATCTTTCATTGGGCCGATTTATACTAACATATCCTAAGTTATATGTACATACCTTTATATTTTGAAAATCAAATATTTTCCATAACAAAGGTCACTTTAATGACTTATTAAGTCGCCTCAAAATTAGTATTCAAATTTAGTATTTCTATAACAATCAAAGATCAAATCTGAAATTTCTGTTTGCACTGCAATATCTAAAATAACCCAGAATAAGGTTATCTAAATGGTGCTATCAGAAATCAAAAACTCAAGTCTTTGATTGTTTCTGAAGAATTCCTTGAACATGCAATCAATTCATAACTTCATAAATTACCAAAGACTAACTGAATTCAAAACAATCAACATTTAATCAAAAGTCAATGTCAAAGTACATGCTAGTCAATTAAATCTTTAATCAAACTGAATCGAATATATCAATACCAAATTTATATTCAATAATCCATAAAAGTTAAAAAATCAAAACTGAATTTTCTAATCACGTCATGATTTCCGAAGTAACCCATAATAAGATTATCTAAAAGATGTTATTAGAAACTAAAACATAAATATTTGACTGTTTCTCAAGAATTTCTTAATCATTAATTCACCAAATTAATCTAAAACTCGATACATGAAACTAAAACCAAATAATCACAAATTACGATAATAACATTCCTAAATTAGAACCAAAGTCAAAGTTAAAATACATACTAATGAATTAAATAATGATCGCATGAATCTTTAATATTATTCTATGTTTTTCCAAAACCGAACCAAATATCCATTACTCATATTCTAACTATTCCAAATTGAACATGAAAATAATAACGCTATACTTTAATATTAAAAAAATATAACTTATTTTGTAATGCATTCAAACAAAGCATTAAAAAGTTGCCACAATTCGAAAGAATGGAATTCAATTTTAAAATATTCATTATTTGATGACTATTAAAACATTAATTTTGAACAACAATGATTATGGAATGAATCATGATGGTCTCAAACTCACTGTAACAATGTACATTATAAATCATGATGACTATTTCAACACAATTACGATACGCAAGAGTTGATATCGATACCATTAAAAAGAAAAGGTTAGTGAACCTCTCTAAAACAAGAGAGTAGTCTAGAAACGTTGTAATTGAGTAATAATAAGTTTGAAAGTGAGAAATTGAACAATCATAAGAATATTATGAGGTAAGATTAAAGTTTTATTTGGCATGCATTGTTTTATAAATATATGATTTTTTATTATTTACTTGTGAGTTTATCAATTGATAATTATTTATAATTCTTGAAAAATATAATGATTTTATGAATTCTCATTTATGTGATCTCCTGTTAGCATGTTGAGTCAGCAACAATGGTGCCCGTGCTACTGCGTATGTACTGTGTATGCATGCTTAGCTTGCATGATGTTGTTAGTAAAGTAGTTAGGAGCTTCTTGAAGTTGTTAGTAAAGTTAGGGTTGTTAGTATTAGTTGTGAAGTTTGTTAGGCTTATATTAGACATTAGGAGCTGTATATAAACAACAGAAGTTTATATTCCATACACAGTTCTTTACACATTCAATATACAAGTGTTATACTTTCTTACTTGCTGCTCATCTCTTCTTCATGCTCACTGTGTCATTCATGGCCCCTTTCTCACATGGTATCAGAGCTAAAGATCCTGAGTATGTACTGCTGTTACCTTCACAAAGAACTTTAAATCGATCCTCCTCTGCTCTCCGTCCAAGTTACAGCCATGGCTATGGCAGCTTTGCTTTGGTCATTTCGACACCGCGACGCCATCTCTGTACCTCTCTCTGCTTACAGATGCCTTACTAGCAGTGGCAACAGCTCAGCCGGAATTAATTGGACAAGTTTTTCAAGAGCTTTTAGTGCAAAACCTGCAGGAAATGATGTTATTGGTAATGATTTGGGGACAACCAACTCCTGTGTTGTTGTCATGGAAGGAAAGAATCCCAAGGTTATTGAGAACTCGGAGGGTGCACGGACTACACCATCTGTTGTTGCCTTCAACCAAAAGAGAAGAAGTAGCACGGGCACCATTGTTGCTGACTCAACATGCTAACATCTCCGAGATTCGATTGTAGTATCTAAATCAAGTATTGAGAGTTACAAAAATAGGATATTATATATATAATACATCTCTATGATATATAAAAATGAATTACATAATTTATTTTTACTTTTAGAAAAATTTATTAAAAAATTATTTAATAAGACCTTGGTGATTATTGATCAAACTCATAACCTTTTGCTTACGAGGAAAATGCACTACCTCTATGCTAAAAAGGTAATTGCTAAAAAATTCATTTCATGTACGTTAAATTTTATAAACGAAATATCTAAGCAAAAAATCCAAGCTAAACAAAAGCTCCGAAAATATTGGTACAGGTGACACAAGCTAAAACTCAAAACATGACATGAAAACGCAATAGAAGCTAGAAAATGAAACACTTAAGTTGGGGAGCATAGGAGAATCCATTACTTAAGCTAACTCGTAATGGTGAAGTGACGCTGTTGCTTTTACCTTGCGTTGCTAAAGTTGGCCTCTTGGTCCAGTGTTGCTGGTTGGAGTACTGTTTGAGTTAGCTGATGAATTGCTCGTTTGTTTGGGTTCTTCTTCGTGGCTGTTCGTGGCTCCTTATTTTTCTCGTGAGCTTTTTTTTCTCGGGGCCGGTCACTCTGGTGGTTGGGTATGTGTTGCTCGGTGGGGGATTAGCTAGTTTCTTGTGGTTTCAGTTCCCCTCCATTTTTTATTGGTATAAATTAGTGTCATAACCGTCCTTTGGGTGGTCCTAGAATCGGGTTTCGACTTGAATTGATGTGATGGAGTCGCCATCAATTATTTTAATTTGGTTAATCGAATACCATAACTTACCGTTGTCTTGATCTACGATTTACCAAAAATTTGTCGGATTCAGGAGTCGATTACAGTCAGGGAAGGATTAACACCCCTGTATTGCCTGTTAACACCCGTTTTAGTCCGGAGACCCGTTTTTATTTTATTATTATTATCATTATTATTTAATATTATCTATTATTATTATTTTTGTCTGTAGGATACAAACCAAAAATTGGGCCCCGAATTACAATAGGCTCGATCTGGCCAAACAAAAAACAACCCAAATTCAACCTAGTTAACCCAAAGCCTAGGACCCTACCAGGTTTGGTCACCCACTGTCAACCCTATCCCTCTGCCATGGTCACTGTGCTCACCATGCACTGCCATCACTGTGCTGCTACGCCTGCCATAGCCATCCCGTGACCATACTTCTCCACTCCACCACTCCATCACTCCACCACAGCCTCTGCCAGCAAGCATCCAACAACCCAATTCAATAGCTTTTTTATTTAAGAGTTGAAAAACAATGTAAAAGGGGAGAGGATTCATTCGAAATCAATGTAAGAGGGGGAATTCTTTCGAAAGAAAAAATCGGGAGGGGAGGACCAAATTCGAATGAAATATTGTAAAAGCCTTCCCCTTTTTGATTTTAAAAGACAAAAAAAGCAATAAAACAAAAAAAAACAAGGTTCAAAGATTTCTATTTTTTTCTCTATTTCGAAATAACAAGTAGTATTTTTTTCTTTCCTATCCTACAAAATCGAATAAAGCCAATACTAAAACGAAACAGAAAAAGAGAGAAAGTCTCACCCTTACCTTCAACCTTTGTTCGTTTCTGGCGATTGGAGGTTACTTTTGACAATCCGAGCAGTGAGGAGGCACACATTGGTGAGAAGAACCACATACTTTGGAACGAAGACGATCCAGCAGCGGACGACGTCAGATCAGAGTAAAAGAAACCGAACGATTTTTGGCATTTTTGTGACAAACATCACATCTCTCGGCAAAACGGAGCCAAGATTGGTGACGGGGAGTTCAAGGCGACCCTCATGGTAAAATTTGGTGCCCAACAGCAATCGGTGATGGCGACGACGCGGTGACCGACGGCGGACGGAACGACGGCCGGTGAGGGTAATCCACCAGCGAAGACCGATTTTCTAGAGAGAAAGAGACCCTCTCTCTCTAGATTTTAAATAAATGAAAAAATGAAAAAATAAAAATGGAAAAAATATGATATTTATATAAAACTTTAGGGGAAATTGCACTTAGGTCCTCCTAAGTTAGGCGTGTTTTTGCAAAGTAGTCCGCTGTAGTGATCGTTTTTGTAATTTGTCCATTTTTTATGAATGTTATATATATTTGGTTTAATTTCTGTTTGGTCCATGTAATTTTATGAGTGTTTTGCATTTTGGTCATATGTAATGACTATTTAATTTTTTTTAAATATTTAAGGGTTGATTTGGTGATTTTCCCTTTTTATTTCTCAATACTAACGTTTTGTTGTATTTTCTTCTAGGTCCCTCTACTTTATGCATGTTTTTCCATTTTGTTTATTTTTTCTATGATTTTGTGCTTTAATTTGTGCTTGTTTTAATTTAGTCTCTATTGTTATTGTGGTTTATTTGAAATTTGTCATTGGTTTTTATTTTTATTCATTTTATCCACTGTTTGGGTTCTGTTTATTATTTTATTATAATTTAGATACAATTTCATTTTAGTCATCGATTGATTATGATTTGGCTATTGTTTTTATTTTTTTCATTTTAGTCATTTTCTGATTAGTATTTTATCTTTATGATTATTTTAATTCGAGTGTCTTATTTTAATAATTTCCATTTTAGTCCTGAATGATTGAAGCTGGTTTATTTATGATTGTAGTGCTCAGATTGTAAAATATTCACAATGGTTGCCTTTATTTATTGTTGATTGTGTAGTTTAATACCTAAAATAACTATTCTTTATTATCTTGATCCATTATTTACATATTTGTTAATTTCTTGCAATTTGTAATATTTTCAAATAGTATTTTACTCGAGGAATTTATAGAAGTGTGCCTTAACTGACGATGAGTGTTTTTCCAAGAATTGTTCAAAAATATAATACATTTTATATTCGAATGAATTTGTTTTTTAATATAATTAATATATGTATTTGGATAATATTAATTTGTATGGGGAATCCATGGAAATTCCCCCTTAACTGACAATGAAGGTATTTCGAGAATTGTTCGTGCAAAATAACAACCCTTATATTTTTTTCTAAAACAGGATCATAATTTAAATGTATATTCAAATTTACCAATTTCAATGTTTAGATGACGTATAATCGCATATGTACCGAGTTCGAGCATTGTGGGGGTGCTAATCATTCCCCACACATAATCAACTCCCCATTCCTTTTCAAAAAGAATTTCTGGTTAAACGTAGATTATTTTTTATCTTTTAAAATTATTTTAAAAGATATTTTTAGGTATTCGACCTACCTAGCTCAAAGGTTGACGTCGACTCCAAATTTACTTATTTTTACATTTATTTTAAAACAAAATTTTTCCAACATTAACTTGGATCGCTCCCCGCCATAGCCACAAAAAAATAAGGATCGTTCCGACAGCTTGACGACTTTGCTGGGGATATTAGAGAGCCAGGCCGTAATCGATTATACGCCATCTTTTTTTCGGAAAATGGTAAATTTTAATGATATTTAAATTTTATCCTCATGTTTTGTTTGCATTGCATTGTGCATCTTTTATTTATTGGTTGTACTAATGTGTGATTTACATGTTTCAGATTTTTTTAACTTTGTTTTAGTCGTTTGTTTTTGGATCGAGGCGAAGGATTGTGAGTTCCCCCACTCGCACTATAAATATTTGAGTATTTAGAGACTTCTAACTGTGTTGTATCCCGTTAGGTAGGGGTGAGCGCTACGCTTAAGTGAAAAAATTATTTTTCTCCTCATGGGCTTTAGCAAGTAACCTCTAGAGTACATATGCCTTGTGTTTACGAGCGAAACATTGAGTTTCCTCACATGGACTTGGGGAAATGCATCCTCTCGAATTGAACTCGACTCGTTTAAGCCTATAATGGGTGAGGATCAAGGGTCTGGCAGGCCCAAGGGGCACCAACAAAGGATAATTCGAGGACCCTGTTAGTAATACCGAAACTCTTCTCATTTCATATTGAATTTCTATTCGCTGTTCTTCAAAAGTCATAAAGGGAAAACTCAATCTAACCTTCTTATCAAATTTATTTATTTATTTTGCAAAAAGCATGAGAACTAGAAGAGTATGCAGTTAGGTTTTATATTTCCATACGAAGATTATGAACTAGAAAAATGAGGTTAGGATTTATACGTTGAACAAAGCACGGGGGTAAAAAAAATGTCTGGGTAGAACTGTTATAAAAGCATGTCAGGGTAGATACCATGTTGGGTAGGATATTTTCATTTCTTAAATATTTCATTTTCTTTTTGGTTAAGTCTAACAATTTATTTTGTTTTATCTTATTTTTATCTGCCTTATGTTTGCATTTTCACATTATAACCAAACAAGGTGTTAATTCATAAGTGATTTATCAAATCAAAAGACTTTTATATCGACATAAGAGTTCCATAACTAGATAGTCAACTCCGTAAGGGAGACAACTTACAAACAAAGTTGATCGACGAGAGAAGAGCTTAAAGTCGATCGAAGACTCATGTTAAATGAACAAAGATCAAGATGGTACCAGATAGTCATATGCTAGTTGAGTGAAGAATGAGAAGATCCTTCATGAGATATCAACACCGATTTCTTTTTGGAAAATCGCACAGAAATGGAGGTCTAGAGATCCAACAATTACAATAGGTGAATTAAGATGAAAATAGGCGGATCATCACTTTGAGAAGTCTAACAACGATTACGAAGACAGTATCAAATCTTGAGAAAATCCTAGATTGAGCAATTTAAGAAAATGAAGCTTGTCAACATAGTGTAAGGAGCACTTATTGTCTGATGAAGGTTGTTCTATAGTGGTCACTTTTGGAATTAATACCTTGTGCATTTGAATTCGCATTTGCATTCAGGTTTTGTATTAGCTTATTAATTTATTTTGATTTCTTTTACAGTAATTCTTGTTATTTTGTATTAACGTGTTTTTTTTGTATTGCATGATCATGACATAATCAAGGTGTTGATTTGTGAGTGGTCTTCAGAGTAAAAGGTTTTCATGATGGACAAAGTGTTTTAC